TAAAGCAATATTATGACAAACATTAGAAACCATAGCAATGATACTCAAATATTATCCAAAGCAACTTGATTATTATGTTATAATAATGTTTTATCATCATGGTTCAAATGATGCATTGGAACTTTTAAAAACAAATATCTCGAAAACTGTTAGCTTTAGACACTTCTAACAAGTAAATCTTTTTTGTTATGGACATACGAGAAAATAAGATTTTTCAGTCAGTTGTTGTATACAGGGTATCACAAAAAAGTGATAAGTTATTTGCAGAAATAGTGCTGTAAATGTCGCCCTCTAGAAGTTTAAAAAATAACGGATTCTTGTTTCTCATACTAGAAAACCTCCCTATAACGAGTGTCATGCCGAAATCTGAAAAACTCAAGCAATAAGGAAAAATAGAAAACAAAATTGTAACTTTGACACCCTGTATCTCGCAAAATATGAACTTTTGGAGTAAGGTATGTTTAGGTCAATTCACATATTTTGGTCTGTAGAATCTCCAGTTTCGAGATTTCCCAACTTTTCGCAGACACCCGTAGAATATATACATATGTATGCTATACATAATTTCATTGATAAAGTTAATGAACGTTTTAAGAATAAACAATTTATAGATACTAATACTCTTTACCTGTATACAACACGACATGCATCTCTCGAAGCTACCATTTTACTCCTTCAATCCAAGTAGCATGTTGCTCTTGTAATCCTACCTAACTGACAGACAACAATTTGTGGAATACAATGGGTGCAAATCATCAATCAGCCCAGTTTTGCATAGTGTTTCACAATGTTCTATCCGCGGCCCTCTGTTATTCTTATTAAGGAGTTATTGAACGTCCAATAAAGTCAGGCACTAATAATTCTTGGCCGGATTTGACATCTGAGCAGGCACAGTAAAACAAAAATAAGACTTTAAATTAATAAAGTCAATGCCTGCCACTATCACAGGATGCTTAAAATCGTGGCACAGCCAAGACTATTTTCTTCCTTTTTGTGCGAATAACCTCACTTTTTATATTAGTTTTCGCAAATGAAAGAAATTATATATATATATATATATATAAAGGGTGTCCCAAAATTAACGCAAGATTTGAATTAAATAGAAAATGCCATTTTTAGTCTTTTAATAGTTATATTTTTATTGACTCATAAAGTACATAGGATAGGGTTATGTATGGAATAACACATCGGACAAATGGCCTCCACGGCTTTGCATGCACATGCGCACTCTTTTGTCGAAATTTTCCATGACCCTTCTGCATAAATGTGGCTGAATTTCGTTGATGCAGCGTTGAATCTCCTCCTTTAATGCACGGGTGGTTGTGGGCTTGTTGACATAGACTTGTGATTTCAAATAACCCCATAAAAAGAAGTCTAATGGTGTTAAATCACACGATCTAGGAGGCCAATTTTCATCACCGAAACGAGAGAGTACACGACCGGGAAATGTCTCATGCAGTAATTGAATTGTTTCACGGGCTGTATGACATGTGGCACCGTCTTGTTGAAACCACATATTGGGTACATCAATATCATTCAATTTTGGCAGAAAGAACTGTGTAATCATGTCGCGATATCGAGCACCAGTAACAGTCACTGCTTGACCATCATCATTTTCAAAAAAATATGGCCCAATTATGCCTCCAGCCCAAAATCCACACCAGACAGTCACGCGTTGTGGGTGCATTTCTTTTTCGACAATCACACGTGGGTTCTCCGAACCCCAAATGCGGCAATTTTGGCGATTGACAAAGCCATCAAGATGAAAATGTGCTTCATCGCTTAGGATGATTTTGCTTGAAAAATCAGGGTCCATTTGTTGATGTTCAATAATCCATTCAACAAACTCTCTTCTCTCTGCATGGTCATTAAGCTTCAATTGTTGTGTTAATTGAAGTTTGTAAGCATGAAGACACAGATCTTTGGTGAGTATACGCTGTAGAGAGGTTCTTGACATTTGCAATTCTTGTCCACGACGTCGAATTGAGGTTCCTGGATTGTCCGCAACACTCTCACGCACTGCTTCGATATTCACATTTGAACGGCTTGTTTTTGGACGACCAGTGTGTTTGGCGTCTCCAACGGATCCAGTCTCCATGAATTTTTCAATTAATCTCTTCACAGTTGACGAAGTTAAAACACTATTCCGGCCATATTTTGTATGAAATTTTCGAACTGCAGCCGCCAAGCATTCACTATTTTTGAAATATTCTTTAATAATGAAGACACGTTGTTCTATCGTGTAACGCTCCATTTTTCATAACCCTATACTGTTAGCTGTCAAATTGCTTTTTTTCAGGGTTGCCAACACTTCACTGCACAAATGGCGGCAAATTCAAATCTTGCGTTAATTTTGGGACACCCTTTATATATATATTGTACTGTTCGCTGATTGTAAGTTTAATTGGTGAGTATGCATCACATGACACATAATTCGGATGGATCCGTTAACGCCAGGTAGATAGAGCTGTATATTGTTTTTTTTTGTACGCTACAGATTCATTTTGTACTTGCTAACAACTCTTTTATTTAGAAAAGATCCTTTGCATACAAACATCAAAACGCCGCAAACAAGTTTTACTAGATTAATACGCGATTCGTTATTGTCGAAGTTGCAGACTAACACAAAAATGTCACTTACTGATCAGCTGTTCACCTCAGTCGACGTCAAAACGTGATGGATACTCGTGAAATAGGGTATATCTCTAATTCTGAAACAATCTTAAGATCAGTCTCTACTTGTCATTATTAGTGTAAGGTCGGCAGTAATAGTGGACGGCAGTATTTCAATTATTCTGCCGTCCACTATTAATTAATTATATAACTCCCTACTGTATGTAAAGGACTTGCCCAATTGCCTTTCCAACAACACTAATAACAAGCTAAATCTACAGTAAATCTAAAAGTATATAGACAAATTAATTTTGTGCTGTATTTCTTTTTTAACTTGTTTTATTAATACACCAACCTGTATACATAATTTGTTATAGCATAATACTCACTTATACATAAATAAATTCATTAGACTCCCTTCAATAAAACATTAATTGAAAAAAAAAATGGAACTATGAAGGACAAAAATATATAGTCAAAGCAAAACAATTATAGAAAAGGAAGCAAAGTTCATTGAATTATAGAAAACCAACCATGTTTGTGTTAATATTTTGTAGCATAATAATTATTATCAATCACCGCCTGGCATCGTCTCGGCATAGATTGTAGAGGTTTCTTGATATAAGATTCATCAATCTGTCTCCACTTTTGCTCTAAAGCGGCAAAAAGTTCATCCTTGTTTGAATAATTTTTATCTCGTATTTGCTTATCTAAGTATTCCCATAGATTTTCAATGGGGTTTATATCGGGAGACTGTGAAGGCCATTTGAGAACTGGTATTTTTCCATCCAGAAAGAATTTCTTTGCGAGATTTGATGTGTGCTTCGGGTCATTATCTTGCTGGAAGATTGATCTTAAGGGCGTATTGTCTTCCATATAGGGTAACATGACATGCTTTAGTATGTCTGTGTATACAAACTTATCCATAATGCCATCTGTTCTATGTAAAGGTCCCATCCCAAACCGCGAAAAGCACCCCCAAACCATACCACACCCGCCTCCATGTTTGACAGTGGGCAAAGTGTACTTGAGGTTCCATCTTCGTCCACTAGGACGTCTAACGTAATGAACTCCATCTGATCCAAACATATTGAACTTGGATTCGTCACTGAACCCTCTTCCAGTCACAGATGCTCAAATCAAGATGCAACCGTGCAAATTGTAATCGGTCCTTATGGTTTTTCCTCGAGATTAGCTGCTTCTTACTCGGGCGACGTGCAAATAACTTATAGTTTTCGTATAAACACTGACAATTCCTTTTATCGCGATTTCCGCTTTTATTTTTCTTGGGGTTTTAAACGGACCTTTGGACGAAATTACTTTTATTAATCTAACTGATCTAGCATTTAGTTTTCTAGGCCGACCACTTTCTTAGAGGCTTCCAAGAAACCTTTTTGTTTATATTTGTGCAATATTGCCCAAACTGCTTTTCGCTTCAGCTTCAAATTTTTGTCAATGTCGACTTGACGTTGACCATCTTTGTATAACTCAATGATCTTAGTTTTCACATCGAAAGAAATTTCTGGACCACGCAGCATAGTCTTAAAATCACTCAACTTACTCCACAATACTTGATGAACACAAACTAATCCTCATGACCATGTGGAGATAGTTCAGTTTCTTGGTGTGTACATAAATGCTACTTTAAACTGGAACGAACACGTGAACTATGTTAGCAAATAATTAACAAAAATTATTTATTTAATTTGTAATCTTGAAGTTTTGCATCCCAAAAAATCTTGTTATCCAGCACGGGATCATTCACCACATGTATAAAGTTTTCGCTGTACAGAGGAGGGGTGTTATGTACATAGTAAGCCTGAAGTACAGAGATCCATGCAGGAAAGAATTTGTAAAACTAAAGATCATGACTGCCTTGTACTTACATTTAATACTGCCTCGTTTATGTCAAGACTAACTCTAACGCATATACAACCCACCAAGAAATTCATTCATACAATTGAAGTCAAACTACTACATAAAACATCACAGAATCACTAAAACCAGAACTGGCGTAAACTTTTTAATGCCTCACCTCTTCAGATAGCAGTACTAGATATTGACAATTTTAATGGGTGTATGAAGAGTTTTATTTTATCCAGAGCTTTCTTTGACATCCATGAATTTATGTCTTATAACTTCTGGGTTTTGACGTAGCTTTCCTGTTTCTTTTTTTTTGCTACCCTTCTAGTCATATTTTGTCTTTGTTTGTCTTATTTATAAATTATATTGTTTGGCATTTTATTATCTCTTTTTCTATATGTATATCTTTATATTTTGCTCTAACCTGTGTAAGCACATGATTACCATTAAATAGAATTTTCGACTACAGTAAAATTAATAACTAGGAACAGAAATACTATACATTGTATCTCATTTTATTTCAGGTGGGAAGAAGAAAAAAGGGATGATGGTGTTAAGTGGACATTTTTGGAGCACAAGGGGCCAATTTTTGCCCCACCTTATGAAAGATTGCCTCCAGATGTTAAATTTTACTACGATGGCAAAGAAATCAAATTATCTCAAAATGCAGAAGAGGTTGCCGGTTTCTACGCCAAAATGTTGGATCATGACTACACAACGAAAGAAATTTTCAACAAAAACTTCTTCAAAGACTGGCGAAAGATGATGACAGACAAAGAACGAGAACTGATTACCGATTTGAAAAAATGCGATTTCAGGAAAATGCACACATATTTCCTAGAAGTGTCTGAGAAGAACAAGAATAGAACAAAAGAGGAAAAACAAGCACTGAAAGAGAAGAACGAAGCACTTCTCAAAGAATACGGATTTTGTAAAATAGACGGACATAAAGAAAAAATAGGCAACTTCAGAATTGAACCGCCAGGCTTGTTCAGAGGCAGAGGAGAGCATCCAAAGATGGGTAAATTGAAGAGACGTGTAGAGGCTGAAGATATTATTATCAACTGCAGTGCAGATTCTGAAATACCTAAACCTCCAGAAGGTCACAAGTGGAAGGAGGTCCGTCATATAAACACTGTCACATGGTTAGCTTCTTGGACAGAAAATGTACAAAATCAAGTGAAATATATTATGCTGAATCCAAGCTCGAAATTAAAGGGCGAGAAAGATTGGCAAAAATATGAAACAGCTAGGAAATTGCATAAAAATATTGATAAGATCCGCGAAGATTATCAGAGAGACTGGAAATCTAAGGAGATGAAGATCAGGCAACGAGCTGTGGCTTTGTATTTCATTGATAAATTGGCATTGAGAGCAGGAAATGAAAAAGATGAAGATCAAGCCGATACTGTAGGTTGTTGCTCTCTTAGAGTAGAACATATAGAACTGCACGAGAAAAAAGATGGCAAGGACTATGTAGTAGTATTCGACTTCCTCGGTAAAGATTCCATCAGATATTACAATGAAGTCCCGGTAGAAAAACGCGTGTTCAAAAATCTCCAGTTATTCATGGAGAACAAAAAGGAAGGCGACGACTTGTTCGACAGGTTGAACACGTCGATTTTAAATAAACATCTGAACGAACTTATGGAAGGCTTGACGGCAAAGGTTTTCCGTACGTACAACGCTTCCTGGACGTTGCAGCAACAGTTGGATTTGTTGACTCAAGATGATTATAATACTGCTGAGATGATTTTGGCGTATAACAGGGCGAATCGTGCAGTAGCTGTGCTTTGTAACCATCAGCGGTCGGTGCCTAAGGGGCATGAGAAGTCCATGGAGAAACTTAAGGTAAGTTTGTTAAGGTCATGTCAATTCATTGTGTTTGGGTCGGTTAATCCTTTGTGGCCTACTGATCTTCTGGGGTACCCACCAATTCATAGTCAATGTCTGTGACTTCTGATGATATTCTGACATTACAACTGTAATTACTGACTCCACTCCATTTTCTGGCTGAATCCAACTACATACATTGTGTCAAAAAAGTATTGGCACATCCTTTGTTTTGAATAATGAAAAGATGATTTTTTTCTTAGTACATTTAATTGAGAACTAACATCTAAATAGTTGTCTTAGATATTAATAGGGATTCACTGAACAAAAAACAGAGTACCTGGTACTCTGTGAGATTCGAAGTACCAGTGTACTCAGCCGCGTACTCTGCACACTGACTGGCTTTGGGTTATTTCAGCTACTGTTGGTGATATTAAGATTATATTTGCGTCTTTGAAAGGTCCCTTTATTGTCAAAATCGATTTACTTTTTGAAAAATTAACCCATCACGAAAAAAAAACCAGTTGTGTGACGCGTCGTAGGTTAGTGTATTAACGGTATTTTCAAAAGTTTAGTTTTTTTAATATTCGAGTTTTGCTCAGTAGGTACTATAGATTTCTTCCACTGTGGCATTCAGTAGTTACAATATTAAGTGAAAAGTGAAACCATATCTTGATATTAAATTTTTGGAACATTTACTTTATATTCATTATGATGCGTCGACAGATGACAGGTGATTGTCGACGCATCATTCTTCCGGTCCGCTCATCTTTTCCACGTGAAGCAGATGTAGGAGGTTAGAAGGAACGTTCCGGTTTTTTCCACAACATTGCTTTTCGTTAATTTTTAAAGTTTTCGGGTGTATTGATATATAGTGTTAACACCTAACGATGGTTTCCGTCGTTATCAATTAACCCAATGTGTCCGTCCGTTTGGTTTTATATTTGTAACAAGTGCTCTCATCCACGCTTTCGTTTTGAAACACCATTTGGCTGCAACCTCAACGACGAGTAAGTTGTCTGACAATTTGAATCTTTCCCGTATTGGTTGCTAGCATCATAATTGTGTTTTCAGCTCCATAGAGAATGCCGAAAGCTACTATGACTACTGCTCGTATATACAGGGTGTCCGCAAAGTTGGGATTTTCCTTTTCAGAAACAACTACCCTTGAAATAACAAAGGTAATATGTAGTGAAACGAGGGCGACCAAGTAAAAAAAAAAAAGAAAGGAAAAAGTACTCACTCTCCAGTTGACGAGAAGGGCTAAGTACGTCTCTGCCCGAAATCATACCGCTCCAATAGAAAATGAAATCAGCTGATGCGCTGCCGAGCAGACGCAGAAACCACATTGATCGTCTTACACTTAATGGCACATCTTCTAACAAGGAAGGCAAAATGTTGCGTAAAAAGTCTAGGTATTGCATCCCGTCCAATCGATTTGGGAGAATAAATGGTCCAATGAGCATACCGTTTACCACGCCAGCCCAAAGATTCACCGAAAATGTTTGTTGAAAATGTGCCCGACGGACAGCGTGCGGATTTTCTACTGACCAAACATGAGTGTTGCGAAAGTTATTCACCCCATTACGCGTGAACGTAGATTCGTCTGTCACCACTATGCACTTCAAAAAGTCCGGATTATTGTCATGTTGATGCAACAACCACTCATAAAACCGCACTCTTGCTGGAAAATCGTCAGGTTGAAGGGCTTGTACACGTTGGACGTGAAACGGATACAGCCCCTCTTCACGCAGCGTTTGCCACACTTTAGTTTTTGATACTTGCACTTCTCTAGCCACGTCTCTAGTGCTTGTTGTTTTTTGAAACGCAATCGATTATACGAGTTCGTTTACCTCTACACGCGTGACCGTAACCGTCGGTTGAAGGATGCATGCTGACCTGACACACTGACCCCGACCCCCGACGCAGTTCTGTCGTCGGGTTGAGCTAGTTTCCTAGTACCAGTTGGGTGAGTCGCGGCTACAGGACGGTATTCAGATATTTTTGATGTTGCAGAGCCCTTTATCTCGGTTCCCTTAAGACATTGGTGTATATGGTACTAAGAAAAATTGCTTATGTTTTCAAGATCTACAACGTCGCGTAAAGGAAAACCCCAACTTTGCGGACACCCTGTATATATATATACTCGACATCTTGAATCTACATTTTCACTGAAGGTAGATAACATGACGTCCCAAGCTATTCAATTTTCGAAAAATTACCTAACAGAATCGATACCACTAAGAACGTTGAATTTAGATCGGAACTGCCTTTGGGGGGAGGGTAGAAAAAAAAATTAAAACTGCTGGATGTCATAGTAGGAGCAATTCAGACTTATATACGTATATTAGTAAATATTTTCTTTACAAAGACTAGAGATAGTCGTTATTTATGTTACTTTTTGAGTTTCAAATGAAAGAGAACAGCAGATAAAAAAATCCAAAAAGGCAGTACCACAATGTGGTCTCAGATGTTGTTACCTGCTTCATGGACTAAAAAAAATCATCCAAATCAGGAAAGGCATATGAGCACAGACTTAGCACATCGCATATATAATTGTTTGATTTACACAAGTTGTGAGTCATATCTATTTGTCATTGTGTCAGAGGGGTCCAGAGGACCTTTTCTCTTGGTTAAAGTATTGTAAGTCAGTAGGTCTGTCAGGACGGAGAGCAAAAAGAAAGCAGTCCGTCAGTTTGAGGGGTGCCTTGGCATTGTTATACTAGTATTCGGGAATTTTAAGTTGATCCTAAAATTAATTTCGAGGTTGTTCGTTGGAAGAAAAATTACAATTTTGGTTGGACTTAAAGTGGCACGATTTAATTTTGTTCGCAGTGCGAGCCGCGGCCTTGTGTTTGCGAACTTGCTCGACTATGAAGTCTACTGATTCGCGCAACAAAGGGTTGCTATGCGATTCCGCTATAACATAGCTATGCTTGTTTGATGTAGACCCTTGAATAAGGGACGTCAAGAATGAAGGGTATCATTAGAGATATACCACGGAGCGTTAGTCATAGTACGTAAGGTTCTGTTCTGCCAAACCTGCAGATTACGCAAATGCGTTTTGGCGCACGTGCGTAAGTGATCGCTGGTCTGATAAACATCTTGTAAAGCTCAACTTAGTTCATCAAACTTAATTTTGGAGTTCTTCATAAAATAGCGTAGAGTTTTCGAAACGTGATAAAAATATTAGTTTTTGACACATCAGTGTGCTTCTGCCATGTCATCCGCTTGTCAAGATACTAGTAAGAATGATTAATTTTGACCAGCCACCGAACCGCCCATTCCAATACCTCGTCCACCGCACTTTGCGGCCTGTCCCGAACCAGATTCCCAGAACACAAATGGGTCACCAGCGCAGAGTCATCAGCATAGAGATAGATTTTACACCTCATAAATAAAAAGTGAATAAAGGATTGGTCCAATAACAGAACCCTAGGGGACACCTGGTTTGATGGGCCATGTTTTTGACAGAACGTAAGTTTTAGGAGCCAGAAGGGGAAGCCCTTTTCGATCATTTTATAAAGGAGGCTCTTGTGCCACACCTTGTCAAATACCTTCGAGGCATCCAGAAGCAAGATGCCAGGACTTGGTTAAGAGTGAAACCCCTGGACACTTGCTCAACAAGCCTAACCGCCTGTAACTCCTTACTATGCTCAGACCGAACGCTAAATTGCACGTCAGGAATCGCATTGTGGTCTGACGATAAATTGTCAAGGTGACGTAGAATCACCTTTTCAGCGAGCTTAAAGGAACTGATAGTAGACCAATGAATTATAATATCAGCGGTCTTCCACGTCGCTGGGAAGTACTGGGTCCTCCATTGATTATTGACACGCACGTTGAGGTCATTAATATGACCTTGAAGCTCTACTGGTGTGCAATGCAGGATTTTGGGAGGTTCCGCTGATGTGCGATGCAACTCTTCAGCTAAGGAATCTTCCTAAGACTTTAAGGGAGGTGCCACTACCACTGTCGCCATTGGCCATAAAATAACTCGTGAAGGCTCTTACGATGTATCGTTCCTCGTTGAGGTCATAAACAAGGTCATATTTGGGAGAGAACCGTCTTTCCACAGCAACAGCGAAAATCTCGTCCTTTTCCTCTGTCCCCTCAGGATCGTGGATGTACCGGGGTTGTTCTCGCTTTCCGTTTCTGAGCGACTTCGCAACATTAAAGAGAGCAATACTTGTCATACATCCCCGCCTGAAAGTTGCTCCATTGCTCATTACGGAATTCATAAAGAGCATTTCTCACAAGATTTGCCGCCCTGCGAATCTTAGCAGGATGAGTTATGTCTTGCGTATAGACCGAGTAATTACCCCGGCCGAGTAATTTAATACTCGGAAAAATGGGCCGAGTGCCGGGTACAAAACGGTACAAACCGAGAACTCTGTGCAACCCTAGATGTTAATAAAGAAGCATTGTTGTTAAACTGTGACATCCCTGTATCTTGAAAACCAGACTTTTTAGAACACATTTTCGTTTGAACTGTTCTACTCAAGTTTGGTTGTAATTACGGTCGATCGTTAACATCCCATATAATATCGATCTATTCTTATTGAAAACACCTTTTTTGAACCCTATTCTGTTTGTCCACAGGAAAAGATCGACCAAAAGCGAGAACAAATTAAAGACGCCGAAAGGCAGGTTAAAGATGCGGTGAGAGAGGCGAAACACGGCAGTGTAAAAGAAAAAGTGGTAGCAGACAAAAAGAAAAAAATGTTGGAAAGAATGAAGGAACAGCTGACCAAATTGGAGATTCAGGAAACTGACAGGGACGAGAACAAAACGATCGCGCTGGGTACTTCAAAGCTGAATTATTTGGATCCCAGAATCAGCGTTGCTTGGTGCAAGAAGTACAATGTACCCATTGAGAAGATCTACAATAAGACGCAGAGGGATAAGTTCAGATGGGCTATCGACATGGCAGGGCCAGATTATCGGTTCTAAGTGGAAGGTATAGTTTGCATTAATATGTGGGAGTTAGTGTGTTTGACAATGGAAGAACTGAAGTTAGGCGTGAATTACTTAACTTACAAAGACTTGTCTCGAAATTCCATTGTTACCAAGGTGAAGTTTATTTAGCAATCAAAATGTTTCCAGGTTATACTTGGTTTAAAAATATTTCTCCAATATTGTAATGTTAGCATATGAAGTATGTCCTAGGATTCCGATCTGAAATTGTTCCGCACACCCCCGTATCCCAATAAGCCACCCTTTATAGGATTTAAATTATTTATATTTTTATTATATTAGTGAAATTATACGTGGATGTGTGAGTGGAATTCCAAGCCTATACTGATGCAATCATGTCATTTTTTCTCTCCATTTAGCCAATTTATTTTGTATTCCTACAAAGTGAATGTCGGGATATTGTGTAGTAATTTTTAGCCAAGTACAGTCACTTTTTTGAATGCTTGAGTTTTACAAAATGTACAGTGAGGCAGGATTGTAACCTTCAGCAAGCACTGCGTGATAACTTCATTTTGAAATGTATCTCAGTTTGAGAGTTGTGATTTTTAAAATAGAATATGGTGAGGTCTCAGATCTGGCACCTCTTTGTATAAAAGTCAGTATTTCAATGTAAAAATATTGGCTTTTATAAAGTTGCTTATATCTGGCACATCTTGATCTTGGGCTAATCTGCTAAAACTTTGCTAATGCGCTCATCATTTATTGAATTGGTTATCAAGAGGTAGTGGATTAGAATTATTCCTTTTTTGTGTCAGATCTTTTTAATGTTGATTTTATAAGATTTGGAAGATAAACCTGTGAACTTATCATGCTGCTGAAGGTCTCGACTGTACCTGATTCTTTGGTTGGTTGAGGATAAGTAATTGTACTGGGCACATCTTATGTAATGACCAATTCTTATTTTAGCTGTCTACTGTGACATAATTGTAGTAAGAATCTGTATATTACAGATTTATAAATAAAAAGACAAGATCGAAACTAACGGTTTTATTTTTCTTCCAACAACTGGTTGTATCTTTTAGTAAAACACATTCTCTTGGCCATAATGTAACGTTATTGATTAGCGTATTCTACCTAACGATAGTCAACCTAATGCCGCCTTCAAAAAAAAATATCAGATAAAATTAGATACCGCAGCGCCATCTATGAGAATTTATCACGGCTGTTTCTCTATTTACTATATATGCTTTCAAAACGTTTAGTGTCTCGTAGATGGCGCTGCTTATAACCTTTTCAGTGTATATAAGTAAGTAGAGAAACAGCTGTGACAATTCGTCTTTGATCATTCTTTAGTTTGACTACCTTCAGGCAGGTAGCTATTTAGATATTTTATTTGTCCACAGATCATGTCTACGCATGATATGGGATAAGTCAAAGCGACAAACTATACAGTAATTAACTCTGTACATTTCCTGCAAATGCATGCAAACATGTAAGTAAAAACAAAGACATTGTTTTGTAGTTTTGCTGCTGATGAACGGTGGCTTATGAAGGAAATACCCGCTCAAAGGAATGCGTGTTTATTCTCGAATATTGTACAAGCGACGTCTCTGTCATTAATTGCAAGTATTAATACACACATGGGGGGAAGTTTTGAGGCGTAAACATACCCCCGACCTTGAAAGGGTCAACTTTCAACATACGAAAAGGAAATACATTTCACAATAATATCTGAATAATGATAATAATGTCCAATCGTGAAATAAAAATAAAGGTTAAAAGTCACATACCAGTTTATACATCACCAACTTCACAATCGGCTCTCTGCACTGGTTCAGTTTCTATTGGCAACACACAAAGTTTCGTAACTGCACGCTTCACTGCACCAGAAGATGTCTACACAGTAGCAACTCGAACCTTACCGTCTGCTCCGGGATGAAAGGTAGAAACCCTTCCAAGTTTCCAATGCAAAGGAGGTAGGTTATTGTCCCGTAGGACTACTATTGAACCAAGTTGAAGATGGTCTTGATGTGTTCTCCATTTGGTACATTGCTGTAACTCAGTTAGGTATTCATGAGACCAGCGTTTCCAAAACTGTTGCTGTAATTGCTGTAGCAACTGATACCTGTATAGCCTTGTTATCGGTATCTTGCTGAGGGCTGGATCGGGCAACGCAGTAGCTGGACGATCAAGGAGGAAATGGGATGGCGTTAGAGCCAAAAGGTCATCAGGAGAACAGGACATAGGAACAATAGGCCTTGAATTTAAAACTGCTTCTATTTGTGGAAGCACGGTGTAAAATTCCTCAACTACTAGATTTGACAAGCCAAGGATGCGGCGCAGATGTTCGCAGATTTTACCCCTGCTTCCCAGATGCCTACTGACAAGTTCCAAAGCCTTTGTTTTGTGGCAAAGCAAACGAATAAAGATATGTAGGCTTTGGTCAGTGATTGTTTTACCTTAACAACAAGTTGAGTAAGCAAGAAGGTCCCACATAGCGCCAGCTTCGGAATAGTCAAGGACTTTAGAGGACTAACCTTGGATTTGGCTGAGAACAGGAAGTTGATCTCTAAATCGACGCCAACGACTATCGATATTGCTAGGCAGTGATGCATGGCCCAAGAAGACCTAAGGGATCGAAGATTTGAGCAATGTCAGAAAGAATAGAGCGTTCGGTTATGGCTTTTGGATTAGAAGATGTTTCGGATATGCTGTACATGAGGTGATCTGAAGAGCATGACCAGAAAACTAGGATCTTTCCACGTTGATCTGAACCTATGTGTATGATGGTTTCGGAATTGTTAGATTGGACATGATCTAAGACTTGCTTGCTGCTTGAAGACCATTTTTGAAGCTCAAAACAGTCAGCAGAAAAAATGGAGGGAGCTCTTCGCATATCTTTACTGCCTCTTCTTCCGATTGACAGCTAGAAAGAAGATCGTCCATGTAAAAATCTTTTGATAAGATATGAGCTGAATGTGGGAAAGTGTCAGCATGTTCTAAAGCAAGCTGTTTAATGCACCGAACTGATAGCCAAGAAGCTGAGGCGGTTCCGTAGGTAACCGTACAGAGTTGAAAGGTTTCGAGCTCTTGCGAAGAATCAGCTCTCCACAGAATCGTTTGCAGATGATGTTGGGTTTCGTCTATCCTGATCTGTCTGAACAAATCAGCACCTATGACGATAGGAGCCTGTCGGAATCTCAGAAGAATTGAAAATAAGCTATCTTGAATGGTTGGACCTATGTACTGAAGGTCGTTTAAGCAATAGCCAGTGTCAGATTGAGATGATGCGTCGAACACGACTCTAAACTTTGTCGTTTTGTTGTTCTCATTCACAACTGCATGATGAGGTAGGAACTAAGAAGAAGAAGGTATCTTGACCGTCTGACCGAGACTGTGGTACTCTTCCATGAATCTAGTGTAAGGTTCGCGCAAAGTCGGTTGCTTGGAAAGTTTATTTTCCATTGAGTGGAACCTTTTTATAGCCCATTCCCTGGAGTCCCCTAAGTGGGAGTGGTCTAGTTTAAGAGGAATTTGGCAATGAAGCGACCACTTTCGTCTCTGCGAGGGGTCGTTTGGAAAATATCCTCACAGATCTGCTCCTCCGAGGAGAAGTGAAGATTCTTTGTGACGACAGGTTCTTCAACCTGCCAGAATTTGGTTAGGAGATTATGGATTTCATGACTTGTTGTGTGTACAAACAGGAATAGGCCCGGAAAGTACCCAGCCAAGAACGGTTTTCTGTAAGGTGGGTAGATTTTTCCCAGAGGCGTATGTGTCCAAGTCTACCAAGGTAATTTTCTTGAAAAGTGACAGGCAAGTAGGTGTGGGGAGGCGGCTCTAATCTACCAATGCCGCTACTGTTGATTCTCGTTACTTTCGAGTATTCGTTACTCTTCTACAGAGTAATTTATTGTATTCGTTACTTGACAAACGTGCGTCGTGTAATTAATGACTAATGTTGAATTTGAACATCAACGGAACGACTATATTATGCTTTTGTTCGGTAGGTAGTAAGAAAATAAACAACATTAAAATTTGCAAAATATTTTAATCATGATTTATTTAAATCCGTCGTGCTTAATGCAAACATCGTATCTTCAAATGTTATGCAAACCAAGATGGTTATAGGATAGGGTGCCATAATATGACTTCACAAAGTATTTTAGACAGAAAGTTGATCTCAATATGGGCTTGAGGAAATTCGGAAATGCAAGTAACTTTTCGAAGCTCGGACCAGTTCATTTAAGCATCGAGGCTCCCTGGACCAAAGACGAAAAAATAAAAATCGCTGAAGTCCCGTTTTTTGTATGCGAGACGGCTGATCATTTCCAGACATTTTTTTTAGGGAGTTGGTGGTGGGAAAAAGTATATCTCAATTTTTTAAGTTAGTATATTTAGACGCTTCCAACACCGGTAATTCTACCTATAGACATATTTCTTACATCATAGATTTCCCCGTGCATTTGTCCTTAAAACTTGATAGACAAATAGTATCACACTCTCGTCGCAAGGTCTCCCAACGCACATACCTGCTTAGGGTAAAGACAAACAGAGCTGTTTTGACTGACGCGTTTATCGAATCGGCCGCGTTCTAGTAATCCGCACTGGAATCGGCCGCGTTCTAGTAATCCACACTGATCCATTCGATTTGCAGAATGGATGACGAATTGTATTTATCGCTACTGTATTTGTATTGGAAAATTAGTAAAAAGAAAAAAAAGGAATAGAAGAATGTGGATACATCCAATCATCGAAGAAAGGCAACGAAAACGTCATTTTCATACATTGTTTGCTGAAGTACAAAGAGATGAAGAAAAGTTTTTCAACTACTAGGATGTCGCGAAGTACTTTTTGCGAGTTAGTAGTAGTAGTAGTAGAAAGATTTATTTAGCACATTATTAGCAGTTTGTGGAGAAAAACTAGCAAAGAAAGATACACGTATGAGAAATGCGATAACACCAGAAGAAAAACTAGTAATAACTATCCGGTAAGCAAATAAATTAGGTAACTGTTTCTCATTTTATTAAAAATTTATTCCACAATCTTTCATACAGTATAAGAGTATATTTGTTCAATTCATATTAAATATACTAAACTGGGGAATCGTCTTCCGAAAAGTGGGAATAATAGCTTCTAACTGATTCAGCTGGTGAAGCGGCTGGAGGTAGTGTGGAGTTTATCTGTTGTTTGGCGGCATTCTGAGATACTCCATACTGCTCTTGTGGATGTTGTACAAGTCCTGACTGACTGGGATAATGGGTTATGTTTGCTGATGTGGAGGTGGTGGAGTATCTGATGTCTGATTTGCTTCGGTCCTGGTTGCATATTTCGAAATAGTCTGCATTATTTCAATCGTGCATTTTGTATTTAAATGTCTTGGCAGTGCAATAAGTGAAAGTACTAAGGAAAGTGCAAAGTGGTAATTGTCATCTTCAGTCATCGTCTTGTTTGCTATTTTTTCGTAATTTTCAAGTGAATGTAATATTTTTTCTTCGACCGGGTGTGTCCTTTTTTTGCCAATTTTAGAATTATACTTTTCTTTATAGATTAAAGTGGGCGTTTCAGGGTTATTTGTATCTAATTCGGATGAATATTCATTATCCAATGAACTGGTGTTTTGTCTGGGCAGTATTACATCTGTGAGAAATTGAAATTGTAACCTCTGTGTATAAACGTAAGGAGCTTTCCGATAAGCTCCAGCCCCTTTTCTTTCCTTTGATGAATATCTCTTGAAAAGTTGTGTTATGCAATTAATTACCTGTAACAAAATAGAATTACGTACATTACGTTTTAATTAACTGCATTTTTTCATTTTAGATATTTGGCTACGGCCGAATTACATTATAATTTTCGTATTGGTAGATCTACTGCTAGTAACATTATCCAAGAAGTATGCGAAACAATATGGATTGAATTAGCAGACAAAGTTATACCGCAATGTTCAACAGAGAAATGGATAGAAATTGCTAAAGGGTTTCAAACATGTGCACAGTTTCCCAACTGTATAAGAGCAATAGACGGGAAACATATTCGGACTAAGCAGCCACCCAATAGGTGAGTCTATGTACTACAATTATAAACAGTACTATTCTACGGTACTGTTTGCGATGTGCGATGCCAATTATTGCTTCACGTATATTGAAGTGGGATCATATGGTAAATCAAGTGATGCTGGCATATTCACAAATTATAAACTTTATGAACGATTAGTTGATGGTACATTGTGAGTCCCTGCACCATGTGCTATTGACGAAACGAATGAAAAATATCCTTTCATAATAGTTGGCGATGGGGCATTCCCCTTATCCGAAAATTTGCTTAGGCCTTTTGGAGGCAAACAACTGACACCTTTAAAAGAAACTTTCAATGCTAGATTAACCCGAGCCAGAAGATATATCGAATGCTGTTTTGGTATTCTAGCCAACAAATGGCGTATATTTCATCGACCTATTGACCTCGATATTGATGTAACTGTAACTGTAGTTAAAGCTGCTTGTGTGTTACATAATTTTATAAGGACAAGGGATGGCACTCGGTCGAATGACGAGAAGTTAGATGAAAATATCAATCTTGAAGGTCTAGCACCAGATACAACCCACAGAGGAAATCCATTATCTGCTAGAGATAAATACGCTCAATATTTTGTAAAACAAAAAACCGTTTAAATAATAAAGATAGCCAATAAAAAATGTTGTTAATTTGTTCTTATTATAAACAATTATTATACCTACCTAACTGCTTCTTTTCGTCAATTGTGCTGTTTTCTTTTGCAAACAAATTTACTAGTTCCTCCCAACATTTTCTTCTCATAACCCTATCGCTGTATTCCTTTTTCCTCATATCCCAAAGTGGCGGTCGGTTCTCTACTTCGTTAATTAGCTTTTCAATATCAATTTTGTGTGCTTCCATTTCTATACAAAATGAGTCGAGGCACGTACGTGTGTGAACAGAGTAATCTAATGACGCTGAAAGACTCAACGCGCCACTTGAATCAAACCGACTCGATTCCTCAGATAAACTACAAACCGAAGCTGTTTTAAAACCGCCACATGAAACGAAACGCATCGTACCGCTGTGTGTATTTTTTACTACGAATGATATATTATACAGCATACGACTCGGGCACCAATTCGATAAACGCGTCGGTCAAAACAGCTCTGTTTGTCTTTACCCTTAGAGGTCTGACGCTGGCTGGCGGGGTTTAACAGCGTTGCCAGCTAGCAAAATTTAATGCCTTGAGCTCCCATCTGCTAGTAGTTGCCGAGCTACACATACACTCGTTGCGCTGGCGAGTGGCGAAGTTAGTCATTACAACGTTGCCAGATGGTCGGTGATCAATTTAATTTTTTTATATACCTTTTCGTAGCTTTTCTTTGGGCGGAGCCAAGTTGTGCCAAACATACAGGGTGTCCGGAAAGTTGGGGTTTTCCTTTACACGACGTGTAGATCTTGAAAACATAAGCAATTTTTCTTAGTACCATATACACCAATGTCTTAAGGGAACCGAGATAAAGGGCTCTGCAACATCAAAAATATCTGAATACCGTGCTGTAGCCGCGACTCGCGCCATCCCCAACTGGTACTAGGACACTAGCTCAACCCGACGACAGAACTGGGTCGGGGGTCGGGGTCAGTGTGTCAGGTCAGTACGCAAACAACAAGCACTAGAGACGTGGCTAGAGAAGTGCAAGTATCAAAAACTAAAGTGTGGCAAACGCTGCGTGAAGAGGGGCTGTATCCGTTTCACGTCCAACGTATACAAGCCCTTCAACCTGACGATTTTCCAGCAAGAGTGCGGTTTTGTGAGTGGTTGTTGCATCAACATGACAATAATCCGGACTTTTTGAAGTGCATATTGGTGACAGACGAATCTATGGGGTGAATAACTTTCGCAACACTCATGTTTGGTCAGTAGCAAATCCGCACGCTGTCCGTCGGGCACATTTTCAACAAACATTTTCGGTGAATGTTTGGGCTGGCATGGTGAACGGTATGCTCATTGGACCATTTATTCTCCCAAATCGATTGGACGGGATGCAATACCTAGACTTTTTACGCAACATTTTGCCTTCCTTGTTAGAAGATGTGCCATTAAGTGTAAGACAATCAATGTGGTTTCTGCACGATGGTCATATTTGTTACCTCTGTTCGTGGTCTACTGGTCTGCACCACCGCCGGCGTCTGCTCGGTATCGCATCAGCTGATTTCATTTTCTGTTGGAGCGGTATGATTTCGGGCAGAGACGTACTTAGCCCTTCTCGTCAACTGGAGAGTGAGTACTTTTTTCTTTATTTTTTTTTTTACTTGGTCGCCCTCGTTTCACTACACATTACCTTTGTTATTTCAAGGGTAGTTGTTTCTGAAAAGGAAAACCCCAACTTTGCGGACACCCTGTATAGTGCAGAGGCATACTTCATGATGCTATTTTTGTTAATAATAATAGCGAATCTCAGTAGTAATTTAGATTGTGGTTCAAGTAAAAAAAATCTTGTAAATATAATTTATTTCAAAAATAGCAAAATATTGATAATACAGCTGGTAACTCAGTGCATCAAACTGATTTTTATCCATATTATTAGCTTTAACCTTAAAATCTACATTAACTTATCACAGTTCAAAATTCCAAGGTATACAAACTACTCCATCAGATAGTACAGAATAGTACGTTGATATATTGATACAAAGCTCTTTTGTAAGATCTTTCAGTACATTTTTGTTCAGCAGTAACCTTTGGCAACATTTTATCATCAGATCTGGCGTGATGTTATCTTCCTTTTGTAAATCTGCAAGTTCCAGCTCTTTCAAACATTCAGCAATTAAATCTCGTTCCAAATGTTTGTTCCTGCAAATTGATTAAAAAAAATATGAAAACAGTATGCACTTTTTACGATACTTCATTATGTCAAACGTGACAACTAGTTATCTAATAAGAAAATACCCTATATTGACAAGTGACATAGATATATAGTTTTGACGAATCTGTCAACGGCGGATCCGGATCTATTCTTAGATTGAATGTTTTATTGCGCTACGGATTCATACTTTCTAACTTAAGAAAAGTTCGTACGTACAAACGCACGATACAAGCAATAAAGCTGTTTGTGATCATCGATGTATTTAATGTCAGGTAAGAATGATAATAAATGATTTTTTATTATTTTGACCGTCTCAACTTTCTGAATATGGTCCCGAGTTTCTGGTTAGCGTCAACTGCCATAGACTTGCTCAAAAATGTCACTTCTTGACCAGCTGTTCACTTCAACAGACGTCAAAACAATGAAGTATCATAATAAAGCCCATATAAAATACCAAATAAACCTCTTTTTCCTAAACTGTTACCAAAACCAGATGAGAAAAATCTTATTAAAAAAGGTTTATTTTAACCCTCCCATGTAAAAGTTTTTGCTTATTTTAGGTATTGTATTTAAACTTTTTTTAAATTAAGGTAAACATTGCTGGACTGGGCGTCTGCGCCACTTGATATACCTCATCGTCTGCTATGACTAATCCAGTAAAAAACAGTAGACGTTTCTAGATGTTCGGAAATCTTTTATCTATTTTGGCAATTAATGTTAACAATTCCCAGTAATTTCCTCTATTGTCAGAGTCATCCCCTTCAAAATGACCCCGAAATGGTAATTCTTGTTTGGCCAAAAAACGTACAGCATTTATAAGTGTGCTGCCTAAAATCTTGGTTAAGACAACTTTCGATTCTTGTTTTGCCAAACTGAATCAAATTGGCTACACATCTCACATGTAAAGGAGATATTTCATGTCTCTTCTTCAGAACCCTAAAACTATTTAAATCGTTGCTGGTCCACCCATTTTTTGTTTTTTCTTTTTGTAGAAAACAAGACATGGCCAACAATACAATCTGTTTTTCTTCACATAACCAAGTTTTTTAAATTTACCAACTAAATTTAAAATATTGAACTACTTTTTTTATTCCTTTTTAAAATTATCAAAAATAAGTTTGTATTCCATTTTCAATGATCTCCTTTTTTTTCTTCAAAATTATACCCAGCGAGACTCATCCATGAATTGCACGCACACTACAGCCGGCAACCAAAATGATTACTAACGAGGGAGAAGTGAATAATCAAAACAAAAAATGGTAACAACCATATAATAATCGCGGGGGCCCAAGCACTTGGGCGACCGCGATCAGACACGAGCCGGCACCGACGGACTATCAAGTGTATAAACGAAAATGGTACAATGTAACAATGGTTACATGGACGCTTCGCCACTGGTTATATAAAAGTTAGAATTCAAATAATCATAACTCTTCCTATAGTGAAAACATTGCAGAAAAACGTGATTAAAAAGTTTGTTTCATATGACCCAACTTGAATGTCGCTAGCAATTGCTACTGTAGACCCAGAATATGTTTCAAGAATCCTAATTATTAGTTACTAACCTAGGTCCTAATTCTGCGCCCAAGTGGAAGTAGTGTAAAGTATAAGTTTTGCTTTAGTGTGAAGGATATTGGTTTCTGAGAAAGAAATGCAATATTCAAAGTAATTCCATAGTTACTTTGGCAATGGACATTTGAATACTTATAAAACAAAACACAAAACAAATCTAAAGCAAGACGATAACGCTAAGAAAACAAATGTCGAAATGCACGATGTAAATGCCCTATTTATATGCCCTTACGCATTTTGGTCGGACCAGCAACTTCGCGCTTGCGCGCCAGACACCTCGTGTGTCAAATTCTATCAAGCCATTTGAGTTTTAGGCAGTGAAATAGATATTTCAAAGTTATTTCCTGGGATAAAAGGTAGCCTAACTGCTAATCCAGACTATAATATACTCAACCAAATTTCATCTAGATCCGTTCAGCAATTTTAGCGTGATTAAGTAACAAACATCCATACTTTCTTATTTATAATAGTAGGGTTAAAATATGGTCCCTCTGCTCAATTCAAGAATTTATGTTGTGTAAAAAGGCTTATACTTCGATTGAGTGAATGATAAATTAAGTTTACCTTTGATACTCCTGGTTTTTCTGCCTGGCCTCGCTCAAATGTTTCGTTATGAAACTGACCAACATAGTCCCAAGTATTGAAGAAGGCACAATAAATTGACCAGTTGGTGACACCATCACTGGACCAGAATCGCTGTAAACAAAGAAATTATTTGAGTCGGTGGGTGCATTCACAGAACGACAACTACTGGGTACACGTACAGTCGATAAGAATTAGGTTTTTACATGTGGTGAAAATAAGATGGCGGCCCGATAAGTACTTAGCCTCACCGCCCGATGGTGCCACTATCGCAAGAGAAATGTACTAACGTGTAGTACATTCTCGTAGGTGGCTCCTATCAATATTTCAGTCGAATCGGACTCGTAGTTTTGTTTTGTCCGCGTGTGGAAGCGGGCGTTTCGGCGGATTTTAGAAAAATGGGAAAAGGGCAATATTTCGATTCGCGCAGCGAAATCAAAGAGCGGTTGGATGCTGTGTACGGTGGCTCTTCTCCATCAAGCTGTTTAAGCGCAATCCGAAGAGTTTCGTGACCGTCGACTGAACATGGATCCACTGGTACACACCACCAAAGAACAGTGGAAACAGTCGACTTCACCCGGCGAACGTGCTTCGAAGAAGGCAAAGACTGTCCTATCGGCCGGAAAGGTGATGGCGTCCGTTTCCTGGGATTCACAAGGCGGCATCCACATCGACTACCTGGAGAAGGGCAAAACGGTTACAGTAGGCCATTACTATGCCGAATTATCGGGCCGATTCGACTCCTTCCACTATGATAACGCACGACGGCTCACACCTCCGTTGCCATGGTCAAATTAGTCGAATTATGCTATGAACTGCTGCCCCATCCACCGTATTCTCCAGATCTGACCCCGTGCTACTTATTTTTGTTTCCAAACTTGAAAAGTCACTCTCCGGGCAGAAATTTGAGTCGAATGAGGAGGTTATCGCCGCCACGGAGTCCTACTTTGAAGACTTCTAGAAGACGTATTTTTCAGATTGGTTAAAGAAGTTGGACCATCGCTGGGTCAAGTGTACCGAGCTAAAAGGAGGCTATGGTGAACAATAAATCACCACTTTTGCCCAAAATTTTCGTTTTCTTTTGTAGGTTAAGTACGTATAGGATCGCCCTCGGCGTTCTAATTCGTTAATGAATGCCAGAAAATATAAACTTAACGGAAGGACCACTTAAACAGACGTTATAACAAGGGCGGATCCAAGGGGGGTTATGACCCGCTGGGCAAATCGATATTGGCCTGCCCCCTCCCCGATGTGAACATCTTCCTGAACGTGACATCCCGATACAAAGACTGGATCCACCTTGAGCTAGAATATGATGATAAAATCCATTGTACAAATCAGAACTTTTTTATTTGTTTATAATATGGTCGCATGCACAGTTTGTTTTACATAGTTTTGAAAATCAAATCAGATAGGTGATGTCCCCCATTCTCCATACACTGAGCAAACTGCAGGAGTTATGTTGACAATTTATTCCCGGATGTTGGCTTAAAATCTTGTAGGGTCCTTGGACGGTTCAGATAAACACGGGGTTTCAAAAAAAACCCATAGAAAAAATCACGAGGGGCCAAATCGGGAGAGCGGGCAGGCCACTCGTAATCATCAACTCAGATGAGGCGTTCTGGGAAGTATACCCTCAAACAGCAATCGATGTTCTTGAAGTGTGCGCTATTGCACCGTCTTGTAGGAACCAAAAGTCCAACTCAGCTAGCTGTGGAAAAAAATCCAAGTAACATGTTTGCATATCGGTTCTAATTCACTGTCACTGCGACCAGGGACCAGTAAGTCCAGCTGATGAAACTAAACCACACTGTGACTTTAGGTGAATGCAAAGGCTTTTGATGCATTTCTCGAGGATTGGTGTCAGCCCTTTAGCACATGTTTTGTTTGTTGACGGATCCGCACAAATGAAAATGGGCTTCATCACTGAACGACTTCGAGAAGACGCTCAGAGGCGTTCATACTCTAATTGAAGTCATGTCCAGAAAGTTCCTGCATAATTTCCATCTTATAAGGGTGGAAATGTAGATCATCACGAAGAATTCTCCTCACAGAACGATTGGAAAGTCCAAGTGCAGACGCGTGTCTGCGTGCAGAACGCTGTGGTGATCACAACATCAAATCTCTCACTGCCTCAATGTTTTCATTTGATCTGACGGGCCGAGCGACTCCAGTTGTTCGTTTTGTCGTATTTGCACTTTCGCTGAACCCACGTAACAATGTATTTCCGGTACGGGAGAGGGGCCAACGGGCCTAAATTAAAGCGATTCCGAAAGGCGTATTGGGGGGCGATTACAGAACATCCGCTAGAAAAGTACACCTCAACGGCAAAAAACGTTCCTCACTAGCACCCTGCAACGACATCAACCGACTGAATGGAACGCATTTTAAAAAAGAAGTTATGCTGCCGCACCCTGTACACTTACGTTTCGACAACAATTTCAAAATCTTCTAAACTTTCAGGCCATTCTTTTGGATATGACCTGGAACCCATATAGTCACTCAGAGATGTAGTGATTTGTCGTAAGTTTTCCTCATATGCTTCTGCTACAATTTTCGGCATAAATTTTCTAACAAAAAAAATTTATGAAATTAATACCTTGATTAATGCGAATATTAAATAATAATGTACCTTCTTCCAACTTTGATGTTTCTTAATACATGAGATAATGATTTTTCAAATGCCGGAATACGGGTCAGAGCCAGGTCATATCTTTTGATATTCTTCAGGAACTAAAAATTAACATTTTTCCATATTTTAACTTCAATTATTTGATCGCTCCATCAAATAAAAAAGCTTAGTTTCACACACTTTCTAAAGGCCTTATCGTCTATCGTTCCTACAATAATTGTAGGATGCCTTTACAGCATCCTTAATTTTCATAGTCTTTTATCTCCTTCAGAAAGGCTAGGGTATTTTTAGATTTCTAGTGTTCCCAGCCAGTGTCAGCACTCTCCTATTGTGAGGCTATATTTTCTTTTTGAATTGTAGGGAATTTCAGCCTGATATATCAGATGATATGAATCAAAAGCATGAACAATTTGATGCAAATAGATACTTGTAGCACTATCAAAATCAATGAGGGCATAAAGGCATCCTACATTATTGTAGGAACGACTGACGATACGACCCTATATAAATAAAGATCATATTGATAATATTTGAGTCCTTATATCTAAGAACCACTAGTAGATCCTGAGTAATTTGATTTTTATTATATGGAGCTTGTAAAGTTGGCTTGACTCAATTGCAGATAATTTTGGAAGCTTCATAAAAATTAAGACTTAAGAATATGTAGACATAATTACATCTAACCAATTGTGCCTAACTTCTCCACTATACAGCATGATATGGCCATCCAAACTCACTCCTGTGAAAAACGAGAACACCAGTATTCGGCCTAAAACAACATACAGTGAAAACATACATAGAACTTGGATGAAAAAATACATCACATACTTTGAGACCATACCTATGAAAAAATTGTGGAAACTTGAATTTCACTAGTAGGTCTAGGGTATCTAAAACAATGTCACAATTTTTTTATAGGTTATGGGCCCAGACTAACATCTACTATACCTTTTAAATGGCATCTTATACTCGGATGATGATCCACAAGTGACTTAAAACTGAGTAGGCATCCCCTAAAGTGTGTATCATTCCATCCACACTCCCACCTGATATCAAAAAGCTCCAAATCTTTTCTAATTTCTTCTCTCAACCTTGCAATTTCTTTTCTGTATTCTTGACCTTGTTGGTATTTATCTAGAGCAATTGTGTGGTTGATCTTCAACCAATTTAACAGTCTCAAGGCGTCCCTGGCTTCTTTAATTTTCCTCTGCATTATGATATGGGCATATATTGGATGGTGTTCATCTGCTTTGGTGAAATCAATGTCATTTTTATATCTTATTGTTGATTCGGGTGGTTCAGTTGCAGGGGTTACTATGCTATCAATGTAATCAGTAGGTAAGTTACAGCTTTTGAGGATTTTTGCTATTGCTGCCTTAATATCTCGTTCTATCAAGTGAATTTTAATCTCATGGAAGGCAACTAAAAAAATTAAATTATGAAGTAGATTCATCTACAACAAAGACTCATTTAAAAACAAATGTAAACTTATAAATAGGTCACCTATTGAATTCTACCTTTAGGCAATATAACAGTACCTACTGCAACTTTTGGACTCGACTGTTGTCCAAACAACAAAAATTGTCAATAACTGCCTGAATCGCTTTGTTCTTGATGGAAAGGTCATATGCAAAAATAAAATGATCTTTCCTTTATCTATGTCAAAATTAGATTGTGATTGTTTTGAAAGTCTAAACTTCTGAGTAACTAGAGTCATATATGTTCTACCTTCTACACAAGAACCAAATAAAGACAATTCAATATTATAAGTTGACCTTGAAACAATCTTGAAAATGTCAGGTTCAAGGTTATCACCAAAGATAGTTTATATAAATATGTAAATGAAAGTAACTAAAAAATTAAATAGCTTTTGCTGTATATTTTTTGGTAAAGGATTATAACTGATACCTTTGCTGCTTGTTTTATCTTTGAGGTAAAAAGTTAGAAGCACGGGCTTAACAGGTTTACAATCTTGCAGATTTGCCAAGGCAGAACTTAATTTTTGTAGAGAAGATTCATTTACTGCTCTTTCACTAGGATACTGGCCAAATAGATCTGGATGAACTGAAAAGTAGAATGGTCGCAGAGCAGTTGACACTTCTGTGGTTGTCAACTTTCGAATGAAGACTAGGTATTTATGCTGAGAGGAGCACCTGCCAAAGATTAGTGGAAAAATCAAAATGATTGATGTTTGTACTCCCTATGATATATTGAAAATGTTTTGTGACCTCTTGTGAGTGCTTCGCTGCAATACGCTTAGGTATGCACACACATGATTTGTGTGTATCTAAGATAATTATGAGCTTCTGTTCGGATCACAGTTTCACCTGAGAGTATTATAGGAATGTGTAAGTCAAAAATGCTGTTTTCATTCCTCTTTGTTACAAGTCAATATATGTTAGCACAGTTATGTGATTTGGGGCACTAATTACAAATATGACTCAGTAATGCAGAGGAATTTGAAATAGCAATAGGGCAAAATCTCCAATCTTGCATCTTATGCTATACAGGGGCCTCTGAACATACAGGAAGTTCAGGCTCTAGGATTCAAAGCACCCCAAGACAGCGCTAAGTTGGGCCCTATTTTGTGGTTGGGAAAAATTGGCATCTTGATTCTTGGGCATTTAGGGACCCCGTCAAACCGGGGTACTGCGTCCTGTAGGGTAAACAGAATAGTAGCAAAAAAGCAGATGTTTTTGAAGTATCTCTCGTCTGTAAAACATTTTGGGCTCGTTGGTATAGGCGTATTTTTTAATTCACTGGTTGAGCCACCGGTGCAACCAAAATTTCCGACTGAGCGACCGGTTGTACACCAAACTTGTCTCGGACGGAAATAAAAGAAGAAAAATTGGTTAATTGCTTGCACTGGTGGCTTACCCCGGTGAATTAAAGCATACGCCATATTATGTATCCGAAAAGAAGATGGTGAAGTGTGAATTAAACAATACTAGGTCCATGAATAATCTCCAAAACATCTTTAGAATCGAAATTGAGCTTATTAAATATTAAATTTGCACTTACAAATTTTGAATACGCAACATGTTATGAATTCAACAGCAAGCACATTGTAAATTTTCAATAAAATCCGAAAATTACCATAAAAAAGCACGTAAACAACAGGCAAGATTATGCAATGTTAAACTTGACTTGATGTCAAAGAACCTTGGAAAGGACGCGTCATGTCTACTAATTTAGAGGCGTGGTCTTAAAAAAACTATCAATATATTTTCCAGCTCTGACTCAGTGGGCGTGGTGGTTGATTTTTTCCTCCAAGTTGATTAAACCACGCCTTTTTTCCTAAGTGACCACTAACGCACGTATCTTGAATCATAGACAGACTTAAAGACAGGTCTACAGCAAGCGTATGTTTTGTGCGTATGTTTGCAGACGACAAAAAATTCAAACACAAAGAACGTTTGCTGATTTTTTAGGTTATAAATAAAACGAGTAGAAATGGTTTTATATATATATATATATATATATCGCCACAGCACTAGAATCAAATCCAAGCGGATAACCAAATGGAAATGGTATTTACCATTTTGGGTTGGTATTTACCGATCCGTTCAAGCGAGTGTAGTTATCAGTTTGGTTATAAGATCCGTGACGTCACGAATCAGCTATTATATCTGTGGCAAATAGTTGAAAGGGCTTATGTATATGTTTGTTGTTTTCGGTAAAATGGCGGCAAAGTTTTGACAGGTTTTATATTGATTTAGTTTTGGCGTGGCTAGGAAAAATGGTACAAAACCTGTTTTATTAATTCTCTGTCATTAAATCCTGAACCATATAGTATAAGAAAATATCCAGATATGAAAGATGAATGATAAAATTATTAGATATGCCTTTTTTGTCAAATAGGGTAATTGAATTTGTTATGGTTAAAACGGCATGAAACAACATATTCATAGAAAAAAGTGATCCAAGGGATATACGTCGACCTAGTACAAGACATGCCACAATATCTGTTATGGTGAGAAGGGCATAAGTCTATATATTTTCATTCAATTTCTGCTATTTGTTTCAGTTAAAGTAGCTCAAGTGAACATGCTACTCAGCTTTTTTGCAGTAATTGGGCATTTTGGGTATAAGTAAACATGTTTTGATATGGATATAATAAGTTTTATTAGCATAGACATCCGTTTTTATGAACATAACTCAAAATAGGTAAACTTTATAATAAAATCAACAACCAGTCTTTCTTAGTAATAGTAATTTTATCAAGTACAAGAAAAAACTAAACATATAATAATGAAATAAATTGAAATTAAGAGACAATGCTTTCTCAGTATCAGGTACGAGATAGAACTAAGCAAATAAGAATAAAATATATATGAATGCTAGCATTCTTCATCATCAGTTAGATACCTATCTACATCTGGATCTGTATCTTCCTCGATTTTTTTATCAGTTTTCAACTCATTGTAGTATGATTGAACCTCTTTGTCTAGAGCAGAAACAATTTCTACCAGATTTTGTTTCTTCAAGCTGCTGATAGGCCGTGGGCCATTATAAACTTTTTTTAATTGAGTATCCTTTAGACTTGAAGGGTTATGCCCCTTTCTGAATAAATTAACCTCTATGAATGGTTCCTCTTCGTTCAAACAATTCTTGTAGGCCACTGTGGCATTCTTAGTGTACCTTAACCAACGAATATCTCTTATTTTGAATTTTTTTTTCTGGAGAGGTCCTTTTGTGGATAATTCCGAAAAAGCCAAAAAATGGTCAATTTCCATAGGAAAAACAGAAAATTTATCTTTTTTGCTCGCAGTTCTCACTAATTGGTACCAATCTCTTGGAACGTGAATACTAATTGAAGTCTTTTTTTTGGCTCGCTCAATCACCGAGTGATCGATATCACACTCTAAATGCGTATGCCCAGGAACCAAAAACTTATGGTCAATCATATTAACGGTTGCATGAGTATGAACAACGTACTGAAACATGTTCATAACAATAAAATTTTTATTTTGTCCACCGCATGTATCGGAATAGAAAATTAAGTGATCTGTTCTCTCCGGGATTGACTTGATGAATCTATAAATGCAAGATGAAATTTCATTTGCTCCTCTAGCACCCGTGCTCTCGGGCCACATAAAGTGACTCGATTTTCCATCTGAACAATTATGTATGGTTAAATTATAAGTTGATAGCTGTCTTAGATAGAACATCTTATTCGATGTTAAATAAGGTGTAGGTAAGACTTGCTGAAGATCAAAAGCGTAGGTCACACATTTTTCATTGAGTTTGTATTTTTCTTTGTCCAATAATTTAGATTTATACGCATTTTCTGCCTCGTTTTGATGTTTTTCTAGTAATTCTTCTATTTGCTTCTTTTCATTTTCCTTGTTAGAAATCGTATACTTAAGTTTAGCGTTAAGTGTATCACATTTTGTGCATGTATCAATCTTGGGTCTCTTAAACCTTAAATTCATGGTATGGAACAGATTTCTATAGATAGTAAAAGATACAGATTTTCCAGGGTGCTGTTCACAATACAACTTGTACATGATACTGATATTTAGATCAGATGGTAAATATTTCTTATCTGAATGTCGCCTGGAATAGTGACTTTTGTAGGCTGGGAAGGAATTTATATGTTTCTTAACTTCATTGATTTTCGATATTGGCGTCTTATGGGGAGGTGAGTTTTTCCCTCTCAGGTCCTCGTGGGTGATTCCGCTAGTTGAAGACAGCTTGTTTTCCACAGCACACCCTACGAATTTTTCGGTCTCGCCTAGGGTATTACAAAAGCACACTTTACAGACATTTTTTTCGTCACCTCTTACAAGTAATTTATACTTGTATGTGTTATTCCTATTTTTTGTTGCTCTGCCTTCAATTTTTCGTCTTGTCACATTTTTTTCTTGGACTTTTATCAATCCTGCAATAAAAGCCACCCTACGGTCATGACTTCCCAATGACCAATACTCGTCAAAAATTTGTGTCCTCATATCTTCCGTTAAAATATCTTTACATCTATTTCTACAGTTGTCCCTCAAGGGCTTAAGTCTCCTGGATTCAATAATTTTGCCCTTTATAGTACAATAACTTATTCCTAAATTACGTTTACTTTTGCGCTCTTTAACTTTCTTAACTGCAAATGGTTTGACGTTACTTCCGTTTTGAGTTACCTGTACATCATCATCTATATTATCAACCATTTGGCTACTATCTCCACTCTCATTTGCACTTTCTATATTTTCGTTTCCAGCTTGAAGAATTTCGTTATCCTGTTGATTAGTTTCTGCATCCTTGATGCAATTGTTTGTAATCAATGGCAGTTCTTGATCTTGTAGATATATTCCTTCAAATACAATATTTCAAGTAACGAATTTATACGAACAGAATCAAAAAAACCTACCCTACGTAACCAGATCATCAATTGCTACGGATACTACCAGAGATTCATCAACACAAGGAAAATTGAGGCCTTGGAAATCCAGCGAGTCGAAATATGTTTCATGCTCATTAGATACAGGTGGATTGCTCAACATCTCATCAACACTCAACTTGACTCTTTTTTCTGGAAAAATAATAAAACATTCTATATATTTCATTTTCATCAATAACTTAAACTTGGAACGATTAGCACGATTCCAATTGAAGCTATGAAGTATACAATCGAATATCTCTGTCAACAAATGTGACTTACCTGATTGTCCCATTAACGATTCTGATAAGTTTTTTCGGTCATTTTCAAATTGCGATTCTTCGTTTTGAGAATTGTGAGGATCGTAACTGTTATTGCCTGAAATCAAATAGGTATTTTGTCTCACTAGATCTGCGCCGCCGTAACCTGTACACTTACTTGACTCATTCTGCCGTCTACACACATCTAGCATTCTTTGAGTTCGCCCACCACGACATTTAACCATTTTTAACAGCCCTTAATCAATTTTAGCTTATATTATAATGTTATAAAACGTAATAACTGAATAATTACTTGTGAAAAATGTAAACAGCCTACACTTTGTTTTAAGGTTACGTCTAACTGAAAAGCGCGGGAACTATCCATTTAGTCAGTTAGAAGGGCATAAGTAAACTTATAACTGTATTCCTTATAATAAGAAAGGCATAAGTATTATTGTGCCTAATACCTAGATGGCCTAGGTAGACATATGCCCTTTTAGTTTGAAAATTTCTTCATTCGATATTTAATTGAAACGGGTGACGTTGACTTATGCCCGTAGTATGGATCTTCTCCACATAGTATGTATACTTACTCCTTTGTTAGTAAATGTATAAATAACTTCATATATACATAAATCAACTTGAGCCCTTGTTACCAACCAGACTAGACGAATCTGGTGCTAGCATCAATTTTTATTTTGATTTTTATGGCGATTCTTTCATATATCTACTTATACAATTTTACTGAAGTGTCCTTATAGCCGTCCTCTCAACGAATACGTCAAAATGTCGTAAGTCGAAAAAAATGACTTATGCCCTTTTAACTATTTGCCACAGATATGTCATGGTTATCACCGCAAAATTGTGGTATTTACCCAACTCAAGAGTAGTTTTATATTTCTGGTTATTATTTGAAATATGACAAGTTAGAATCTTGCCGGGTATTGGATATTGTTATTGTACTTCAGCTTCATTTTTAAAAAAATTGATACAGGCTGACTTCAGTTTTACCATAAAGTGGAGCACCTTATTAGTTATACTCATTACGGTTGTTGGGGACACTTTAAATGTAGTTCCTATGCTTAACAAAGTATCCTGTGTAGCCATATACCACAAGAATATTAAAATATGGCCATATAAACTCACTAGATGATATCCACCTGTATACGGTTTTGCTAATTTCTTTTTTCATCATTTCTGCTGAATCAATAAATGTTTTCTTTGACATGCGGAAAAATTTAGAGAATTGAAAGTTATAGCTACAAAACCATGGTTCCATCATTTAAAAAAAAATCTGAAAAAAACATTTCTCCCATGAATATTATGAAAGGTTTCTTATTTAAACTTTCCATATACAGTTGTGGACGAAAAAGCACCGATTATTAAGTGATAATAAAAATAATCAGAGATTATATACCCGCTTTTCTAAAATAAACAACTTGCAACAAAACCGCGGTTAAAACCAACGCGTTCAGGCGATTCGTGTAACTGACGTCATCAACCCGTGTGCCATCTTGAACCATATTATAACCGCAGCACATAACACAGAAATTTTGGTATTCGCTTGAA